GCCTAGTTGGAAAAGATTTAGAAATTCACGGCGAGCTCGTTTCCGAGCAAGTAACGACATTTATTCTCAAGTACAATGATATCGCAACGAACGAAGAAAACAGTCGGCAGTTGCGAGTTGTTAAGTCGTTTGTTTTCTGGTTGCAATTAAGACACCGATTATGACACCGTGATTCGTTTCGTTTGATAATTACGAGGTACGTAATTACGTCGCGCAGATTCTGCGATTGCGTTCTCCGTGTCGTTTCGTGCCTTTTGTTTTAACGGCGGACCCGGAGGAAGAAGGATCGCCGTCGTAAGAAACAAATTCGCGGGAAGGTCTTAGTCACGTAATTAAATTAGACGCGGTACGCAGATTGACTCCGCAACGAGGAAGGAAAACCACACGGATTGCTACACGCTGTAAAACACGGCGCGTTCGTTTCGTTTTCGCAATTGGCGGATCGTTAGTGCTCGTTAACGAGGAGGGATGGGCGATGTTCTTCCAACAGCTACGTCGACTTTTGATACTCTTTACCTTGGAGATCAGCTCGACGTGGCTCGGAGTCTGAGTAGGAAAAAGTCGAACGAAAGATTCGAAAGAAGTTCCACGTAGCAGGAGGAAAACGAAGAAGCAAGCGACGTTTCACAGTTGGAGTGGTATCGCGCGGTCTGGCGGGACACGAGGAATGATAAATCGAAGATCCGCGTCCATTCGTACCAGTCACTGTTCTTCACTCTGCTTCCTCGTTTCGGTTATTTCCCTTTCAATCGGGCGGATGTCTGTTTCTTCGAGCAGAAAGCGACAGGAGCTCAGCCATTAAATTAGAAGTCCGATAAAGTGTGTCGGCTGATGTATTACTGGTCACGGCTGTATAATTAGAATAATCTCCTCCTCGTCGTTGGTTTTCCCTTTAACCAGCTGGGAGAGGGGGGGAGGTGGTTATTATTCGTGTTCTGCGAGACAGAATTGCACGATCGAGTTACTTCGTAGCCACGAGAAATTGAAATTCAGATTTTTCGTTCGCCAAATCGATCGAACAGCCTGGTCTGTTAGTTTTGATATACGAGCACGGTACACGTATATATGAAGGTTTTACACTCAATTTTTGCGCCGCAATCAACAATGTGTTTCAAATATCGAAGATTCTTTTTCTTCTTTTATCGAGGAGAGGTCTTTTTTTCGTGATTGACCGTTTGCTAATTAACTTTATCCCTTGACGAAAGTATGCCGTCACGATGCAACATCGGCATTAGTTTGGCGTTAGTTTCGATGTCGAAAGAGCTGGGGAATAGACACGGGAGTTAAACATCGAACGTGAATCAACTGATACACGGGCCTTGCCACGTGCACGTTTTCACAACGATCGGGCACTGTCTACAATCACGCACGCCACTCGGCTCATGAATACGTACGTGCAGCTTGTAATCGAGCTCGAATCGAATTCAGCATTCGACCAAAAGTAACAGATGCTTCAATTTACAAAAAGCACAGAGTATCGGTGATTCATCTTATCCTACATCGAGATAAAGCGGCTGAATCCGCTATCTCGATAACAATGTTATCGATGTCTATCTTGCGACAGGTTGCACACAGATTGGAAAAGAATGAATAAGCGTGTAAATTCTATTTTGAGAATTGTTGAAAATTGAAACTGAAACCTCCATATCCGGTTTAGTCAAACTGTTTAGAAATTGAAACTTGATCGTTCCAATTGAATTTGAATCCAATTGACATATTCTCAGCTGATTGTAAGCAGAACTAAGTGTACACACGTAGAATCTCACGAAGCTTGAGTTGAATCCCCGGGAGGTTAAGCGCGAAAAATTGGATAACACACAGTGGACACGAAGATTGTAGGGGTGTTAGAAACAGTATTTCCTGAAGCGTATGGTAGCGCCATGGACAGCGGGATCACTGCAATCGGAGTAACAGTCGCGTTGGAGAACGTGATGGAGATTTCGTGACTCATGGATCTCCGCTAGCCGCCTCCGGCTCGGTGTTACATACCTTATGGAAAAAGCGCGCACATGACTCTCTTGTCTCTCCTTCGTGCATCGCACACGTGTTTGCCTTTCTGCTTTCTGTCTACGTACGGTTCCGTGTGCTGTACTTTCCACGTACACCTCCCTCGTTTTTTTTATTTTTCTTTCACCTTGCGTTTCTTCCATGTCTTTGTGCACCTGAGAAGAGTTTAACCACCTTAAGGTGGATACAATCGGCGGGGCTTCGAATTAGCCGGCGACGTTTAAGTTAAAGCCGGAAAAGATAAAAGGCTATTTCGTAGCCAGTGTTCTACCAGTGCGGTGAAATGTCAGGCGTGCGAAGCCACTTTGAAATTTTCCGAAATTATCGAACCTTTAAAGACGTATATTGTACAACTTTGATTGAAAACTATCAAGTGAAGAAAATTGAAATTTCTTCATTCTGTCTTCTTTGTTCAACGTAAAACGTTTAGTATTTCCTTGATATGTTTAATTGCTTTAACTTGGAAAATGAACACGGAATAGTTTCCAACCTCCCAACTCGATTTTAAATTCTCCTGTTGCTTCCCCTTTCTGTTTTCCACGAGACATGCAATTACCATCTTCGAGTTACCATTAATTCGAGGATGAAATTCATCGGTGTTCAATGATTTTCGAACGACCAGAAGGCTTTGACTACGTCGGCGATCGGTCGATGAGTAACCACGGGAGACCAAGGCCGTACCTTCTAGCTCGATAAACTCCACCAGCATCGAAACGCGCGATCGTTGTGTGCGGGGCCGCAATATACATCTGCATTTTTATTCGGTCTCTCGCGAATACATCGCGCAATTTTCACGGCAAAATTTCATGCTAGCGTTGCGTGGACGCAAGCGGATTAAAATTCCGACGTTCCCCTGTGAACCAATCATCGCCAAACCTTTCGTTTGCCTTTCGTTGACTTTATTCTCTTGGACAGGCTGCACAACAACAGCAGCGAAGTTACCCGGCGCGGTCGATTATTTTCTAGCCCCTCGATTTCATGATTTATGACCGCAAAGTTCAGTCGCAAGTCGTGCCGCAGTCGATTACATCTAATCGTTTATCGAATGAAATGAGTTAATCTAAGAGCATGATCGATCTATTGGATCACGCGTTACGACGATGGAAATAGAACAATTTCGATCATAATTAGGCTGCGATACAGTTGAAAGTCAAGCACTCTGATTAAAACTCAGACGGACGAAATTGTCCATTATTTCAATGAAAAAACCAAAGTGATATTAATTACAAACAGAGTTGAACTGAAAATTGTTGTTGTGTCACGTAGCGCGTGAACGAGTAAACGTTTGTCACTTTTTAGAAAATCTCGATCGATAAGTTAAAAGGAAATACGTGTAATTAAATAAATATAAACTAGATAATCTCGTCCATTATCTTTCCATTAAATTAAATCAATAGTTAACTCTACAAGTAAGTAAAAAGAACGAAGCTATATATCTTAACGCTAGAACTAGAACAAAATGACCGCTATGTAACTTTCCTTGGAAATTCGATAGTGTATTTTTAGTCATTTAAACGATTTTCGAAAAATCGTAGAATACGCAAATAAAGTTTGTTGTTGTATCATGAAGTTAACACTAGTTTATCCTATTATAAAGTTAATACCAGAACTAAGACAAAACGACCAATTTATAATTTTTGTTGGAAATTCGATAGATGTAAATTTTTAGTGATTCAAATGATTTTCGAAAAATCACAGAGTGCACAAATAAAGTTTATCGTGTTGTAAAGTTTTTCTATGTTTCTTTTTTTTCATGTCCTTGACGGAAACTTTGTGCTTCAATCATCGGTTAATTTTCAGTATTAATATTCGCCGTTTTCCTGACCACAGATCGTATTTAAAGAGTTAGTCGCGAGTAATAACAAATCGGAGAAACCGGCGCGCAATGCTTTCAGTCTCAACGATGATGAAAGTTGTATAGGAGCTTTGGCGTTCTTACGAAACGCCTAAACGTTTGTCCTTTCACCGGATCTCGCTAACAAGTCCCGAGCAATCAGACAGTCGTCGTTGAACCTGAAAGAAGTAGGCGAGCGTCGAGTGGTGGCTGGTGAGTCAGCGGGTGTGCGTCTTTTTTAAAATTCGTCCGGCGACGTCACCGCAGAGACACATCGATGAAACGAGCCTCGAATATTTCGAGGAAACGAGACGAACTGATCGAGAGAATCCTGTTTCTTCGATATTCCAGTCAGGGACGTTTGCTTCGAGGTCGAAGGTAGCCAAGCGATTCGAGTTGCTGATTCCACGAACGCCGCCCGAGCTAGACCGCCGACGTTCTTTGCAGTTTGTTCTTCTTTCTCCTGTTTTTTTTATCACTCACAATCAGTATCGCCGGGGCACATTTCTCACCGTTATTATATCGACCAGACGGCGTGAATAAACGTCCGCTTTCCTGGATACCGAGAAAGTGCAGCACTTTCCGTTCGGATGTACTTTCGAAATTAGATATTCCGTTTAAGATCGTTTGCGTACGCACAATCCTCGAAGGAAGGGAGTGGCGATAATCTCTCCGAAGCTTGGGAAAAACAGCGAACGAGCAGTTTGCATTTCGACTCGTTGCTACTTTATGCCGAGCTGGACTCGAGTCTCTGTTTCTCGAATTTCAAATTCTTCAAATTGTAAGTATCGAGTATTTTTGAAAGGTTATGCTGGATATGAATCCAGTGAGCAGGATTAATGTACGTCCTCAAATAATAGACCTTATCAATATTGACTCGTTAAAGATTATTACCATCTCGGCAAAGTATTTGTACAATTTTTCTACCAGATAAGATCTAGAGTCCTATACATCGTTCTCAGTAAGGTTGTATCTACTGTTTTGAATCCCCTGTGTAGCGGCGTCATTTGCATACACGTATAGATAAACAGAGTCCAGTGTTTCGACACGTGCGAGAGCGAAAAGTCTCGACAACGAAGCACGCGACAGCCAGCCTAATTGGCTTCCATCGATCCACCGTGTGTAATAGTCTTAACGTTGGCGACGTTTGTTGTCACAGAGTCTGGAACAAGAGAGGCACCTGCTGCGGCGCAAGCTAGAGGAAGCGAGGAGCGAGCACGAGGCGAGAACGCTGGAGCTTCAGGCGGACGTGGAGACGCTGAGGAGTCAGTTGGAGGAGCAAAATGAACGAGCTAGAAGAGCGGAACGGGATCAGGCGACTCTCGTCGCGGAGCTCACCGCGCAGAACACGAGGCTGGCCGATCAGCTGAGAGAGGCCGCGAAGCAGGAAGAGCAGCTGCTCATCGAGGTCAAGGTGCTCAGGGAAAAGTGTGCCCTCAGAAGTACCACGCTCCAGGATCACGTCAGTAGCCTGGAGGTTCTCAGAGACGAGGTAAATTAAATAGTTTCCCGAGGCTCAAGCACGTTCGCATTAGCGAACGTTACTTTCAATTCAAGCATGCTTAACGTGACTTTGCTCGAACACACATTCAAACGTCACGTCTCGTATTTTCATATTCGTTCTCGTCAGTCAAGCCCGTTCACTTCGGCAATCGCACTCGTACACGGGTAGCTGGAATTCACTGCCACGAACGTTATTACTCTACGTGACTCGAAGTATCTTTTCACGAGCTCACTTGAGTTTGGTTCGTCAGGTGGTTGGCAATTTATATATTACAAGTCATCTGACTCTTGTCGTCTCGTCTTATTTCTGATTACTTGTAAAATCAAATTGATCTCGATTCGAGCAACTTCGTGCCCGGTATCGGTAACTCGAATGAAAATGAAAACTGGCGAATTAAAGTGAAAACCGACGAATTCAAGCAACGTGAATTCAATTGACTTGAGACTTTCCAGAATTTTATCGTTTCATCGCAGTCGTTAGTTTATTTCCCTTTGTTCCGCTCATTGTGCATCCGCGTATCTTCAATAAGTAGTCGTGTCGAACGATTCTCTGGAGCCTCGTTTGTTTTTGCCTACGATCGTTGGATAATCGCGACTAGATTATTCTTGGGAATCAAGCTGGTTGTTTACCGTTGCAACCGCGGTTAATGGATATTGTTCGGAGTCAGGAAACGTTGAATATGTATGATCTCTCTTTCTCTCTCTCTCTCTCTCTCTTTCTCTCGAGATCAATGGGCTGTGTACGAGCGTCTAATCCGAGGCAGGTCGCGAGAGGAAATACACGTAGCCGTGAGAAGTTCGCGAGCTGTGCAGCAACTCCGTGGCAAACGAGTGTCGTGACCCTCGACGATCGACTTAACTTCGCCTCGTCCTTCGTGGCTGCGCCCTTTGTTCTCTTCTTACTTGCAGCAAACTCGAATTTCAGGAAGTACCCTTCACGCGCGAATTCCCTTCGAGTAATATACTCGTTACACTGTCTACACGTTACGTCGATGTTATTGATTATATACGTCACGCTATCGACTATCGCGAGCAGCGATTGGAGAATGATTCCGCGAGGAATCTGAATTTGAATCAATCGCGTATAGAGTCGATTACGTGTACTCTAGTTTCACGATCCGTTATATTCTTTTGCGATCTTCATCTGTCCACAATTTCTCTTCAACGAAGACGTGTTAATTATAATTTCACTACTCGCAAATTGAGGCGTATCACTGAGGAAAGTAACAGATGACAATCTTCCTCTAGGCTTAATCAATTTATCCTCGTGGAGGTTAACTTGCCCTTGCTGTATCTTGAAAACTGTTTCTCGTGTCAGTCGAACAGAACGATCGGTATTCCCTTTCACGTATCTATCTGTTACAAGGTCGAGTAGAAAGAAAGGAGTGATACGTAGTATCTAATACCAACTAATATCAGCTCTATGTCTCTAATTAACATAGTACGGAATTTCACATTGTCAACGATCGTACACGCGCCTGTGTGTATTCAGCGTGCTAGTTTCTCGTTCTTGCGAGAGAACCGGAAGCGCGTGCTCTGTGTAACGTGTCGTCGGTTGTTCGTGTACGAATATGCGAACGTAGGTGAATAGACCTGATAAGCCGATTGGCACGAACGAGCCGAAATCGAATGAAAACGTAAGCCAGTTACGTCGAACGTGTTCCAGGTACAGCTGGTGTCTGCGCAAAGAACAGAATTAGAGAGGAGGTCCTTGGAACTGAGGGAAGAGAGGGCGAGGGCGATGGCGGCTCTCGAAGAAGCGGAGGATAGAGCCGCGGCCTTGGAGCGGCTCAGCCACGAGGCGGAACACCGGGCGAAGATGGCTGAACGTGAAAGGTGAGATTCATGCGTGTTCTTGCTACTTAACCTTTTAACCCGTTCACGTAGAAATCTTTAATAATTTCTGACAATAGGTTTCGTTTCGATTCTTGCAAACGCGAATATGAAACGATCGAGAGATCTGACAGAAATTAAAAACTTCCATGTTGGTTGTACTTCTTTTGTTTACGATTAGAGAATAAGTAAGGAATTCGCAATAATTCTTCTCGTCTCGATCCACGATATGATAGAATAATATCTCCATGTAATAGTTAAGTATCTCACCGTCTGTTAGAAAATTCATGCATGTTCCTGCCACTTAACCTCTTAATCGGCCTGTTTACGTAGAAATCTTTAATAATGTCTCAGGATAAGTTTCGTTTCGATTCTTGCGAACGTAAACATGAAACGATCGAGAGATCTGACAGAAGTTAAGAGTTTCTTTCTTTACGATTAGAGAATAAGTGAGGAATTCGCTTCGTTTCGATCCACGATATGATAGAATAATATCTCCATATAATAGCCAGTTAACTATCTCACCAGTTAGAAAATCGTAGAATTGTCCTTCTCGATCCTCGAAGCCCACGCACAACCGGTTGTTTCCCCGGTCGTGTAGACAGAAGGGGCAGCAGAAACCCATGCTTGTCCGTTTCAAATGCCTACGCGTGTCTTTGTTCAAGTTCCGCGAGGCGGACTCGAACTGAAGAAACGAAGGAAGGTTTTCCAGTCACTTTAAGCAGCGGTCGATTCTTCTCGAGCGCGGTAATCACGCGTTGTTTCTCTCTGTAGAAGTTTTACAGCGGATCGAACGCTTTGCAGAGCGAACGCTCGCTCGTTGGATCGAGAAACGAGAGGAATTCGATTTCACAGACTTTACAGTTGATCGATCGAATTCGCAGGGACGAGCTGGCGGCGACATTGGCGGTGATCGAGGCGGAAAGGAGAGGTAGATCCGGCTCGATACAGAAACCACCGAGGTCCCTGCAGGCGGAGATGGAGTGCGAGGAGAGCGGAAGCTCGCTGGGCGATCAGGAGGATCTGCGTGCAGAGATGGCGAGGGCGGTGAAGCGGTTGAAGGAGTTGTGCGTCCATTTGAGACGGGGGGAGGACGACTCGGGTTTGCAGAGCGACTGCGACGAGTCGATGCTCGTGATCAACACCGCGGAAGCGGAGGAGGCGAACACCAACGGGCAGGATACTCTTGCCAGCTCGGTAAGGGTCACCCATGTCGCGCTTCTTTTGTTCTGCGACTTCCGGTTTCCGGGGCAATACAACCGTGGATCTTAAAGCGGCCATTAAAGCTCGTCGAACGTGCTTGGTTCACCGATCAAAACACGTGGTCTGATAGTAGATAAAGAATGGAGCGTGACTGGTAGTTTTCAAAGAGCTCTCTACGTTCGTACGTAAGTACGTATAGTTGCAGTACATGATATAACGCTTCGACGTGCCCCGGTGTTTGCAGACTTTATTTGCACGGTTGCTTTTTCATCTTGCCTGCCGCGATAAGATTATTCGCAATTTACCGCCACAATAGATATCACCGCGATATCTCTCCGCGATCGATTCGTGTGATTGTACTCGCAAACGGTCCCGCCATATGGTCTTTGCACTGACACGAGCGGTTTCTTCGATTCCTTTTTTTTTTCTTTTTGCAGGCCAGTTGTCCCGGCGCTTTGTTGGAACTGGTGGAGGAGGTATACAACTTGGCTCTTTCCGGCAGAGGGGCACCAGGAGAGCTCGGTTTGGCCGTGGAACTTCACAGGGTGCGCGAGGAGCTCGAGAACACGAAGGAGCAACAAAAGCAGACGCAAGAGGAGCTGAAGAGGCGCGGAGAGGCTCTGCTCGACATGACGAGCAAGCTGAGCGTCAGCGAGGCCGAGCTGCGCGGGGTTAAGGAAGAACGCGACAGAGCTCGGGACGACATGGAACACTCGCAGTTGACCAAGGACGAGATATTGGCCCAGGCTTACAAAGTCAGGGACCAAGCTGTGGCTAGGAAAAACAGGGCGGAAGTGGAGCTAGCTAAAACAAGGATAGACGTTCTTCAAGCTAACAGCCAGCTGATGGAGGCCATTCAACAGAAGATCGAACTTAGCCAACAGTTGGAACAGTGGCAAATGGACGTGCAGTCTCTCGTGGATGAACATGTCCGAAGCAAGTTGATGCCTATCACGAACTCTATCACCGCGGCGAACTCTGAGAATTCGGAAATCGCGGCTCCGGCGAGAAAGAAGAGGAGCACTGGCTCGTCGAAAAAAATGTTCGGCCTGTTTTGACGCAAATGACTGTTCGCGTAGACGTGGTCGCGCGAAACGAAACAGCCAAGGGACACCGATACATATAGTGCACGGTGAGAGAAGAAGACTGCGCTTGAAAAGAAGTTCGTTCCACGAGATGAACATTTCGTTGTGGCGCCAGCGTATCAGGGACCATTCGTCCGCTCATCTCTCCGCCACCTTCGGAGGTAGACTGCTGTTTTTCGAAATTGAGCGGCAAGCGATAGCCATACAGCACGCGCTCTGTGCGCGTCCTTCACGTTTTCACGATGATTCGTACCAATTATTAGATAGCTTTCTCGCTGGCAAAAGTCGCGAGATCGAGTCTCGATCTCGAGCCGTTTACATTCCCTGAGAAGTAGATTTTCCTGGCGTGGTTAGGTCTGTCCTAATCGTTCTTGACAATAGATTTATTTATCGTTATTTTCTTTAAATAGCCAAGCGTTGGATATACAAGACAACGAAAGAAAGTTCCTTCTTTCTAGATGTGCGCGCGATGCATCGAGAAAAGAAGGAAAGCGTCAGCATCGGCAGATCCAAGCGATTGCTTAGCGTACGGCGAGAAGCGCTGACGTACTTTTCTCCTTCCGGGCAAACGTCTCGTCATTCCCGTCAATCGTGAAACGACTCGTTACCACGGTAAAAACCGATCTCTAGTGGCATCTTCTCTCGCAAAGATCTCCGGACTTGCGGTACAAACTTATCATTATTCTAAGCGATGCGTTTAAACGAGAATTGTACTTTCCAACTCCCTAGTACTTTTTTCCTTTCGTTGGATGCGATCTACAGAGACTTGATTCCTCTTTTTAACACGCGGCTGTAAATATAAATTGTACAAACGTATAAAACATTTGTGAGAGAATGGGAACTTCTTATTCGATTGTGATACGAAATGTAATAATGTATATTATCGTCGTGTTACGATAAATTTTACCTGAATTTACATAAGATGGCGCTATCGTTATTACATCGAGCAAAGGAAGATCGACTGGGTACAAAAATTAAATCAAATTGAACTTCAATATATATATTGGAACGGAATTTCCTCTTTTGATTCGCTTGGATTTTTCTTGAACAATGTCCGTCCATCCGTCTGTCCGAATGGATCAGGAAGTTCGAGTAACTGTAAAACTGTCAAACAAAGAAGAAAGACATTGTCCGGGATAGCGGTGAAAGTCGATCGGCCAGGCTATAACCCTACGAACCTTTCGCTGTGCAGCGACAGTGTAATAACAGTGCTAGAGTTTTCGACGCGCCGGTCGACTGCGATCTCGACGATGTACCTCGATATTTTTTCCTCTCCATTCCAGTCTGAACGCTTAGCTTTAATTAACGACCGGCGTTAAGTAACAACGAACGAAGCGGATCGGTTAACGCGCCCCAGCAACATCTCAGCTCGCGTTCGCGTCAGTTAGCCTTCTTTGTAAATTAACAAACGAGCCAACCGCGCTCGTTTACTAACTGTATTATAGCTATATATGACTTCATCTGATCTGAACGATTGTGACAACATATTTATTTAATAAAATTCTGTTTTACGGATCTGTTGTCTCGTGTCTTCAAATCAGCGCGAGCGTTCGTCGGAACATTTGCAACGCAAGCTTTCCGATGAGAATTGATCTCGATTTCTTTTCCGCGAGTGGTGATTTCTTTATGAGAGAACTTTTACAAGTTCGATACATACGCATGAGAGTAACAACGAGATTGAAAAGAAACAAATAGGCATTTATTCACAAGAGGCAGGTGTAGTTACAGTAGTTTCATTCTGTCGCATTTTTTTTTTTTTTATATATATATATATTTATATATATAATATGTATATATATAATAGTATTCTCACGTCCGTTTATAATTATCGATCGGTCCATCTACGCAATATAAATGGGCATGAACAATGGGGGAGGGAGGGGCGGGTGCATACAAAGTGTTTTCTTTTTTTTTTCTCTCTTTTCTTTTCGTACGCTCTAAAAACGACACGTGGACTCGTCGAACATTACGAAACGCGTCGCGTCGGTGTTCTCGTTTCTCGTTTCTTTTTCTTTTTCTCTTTCCATTTTTCAATTTTCTCCTCTCCTCGCTGGTTTTAGAACTTGTTCTCGTCTGTCAAGATACACGCGCGCAGCAAGATTCTATTCCAGAGGAGGAAAAAAACGAAAGAACGGAAATGTATCGGTTTGCCTAAACGTATCAAATAGAATCTCGTTGGCTTCCTCGTGAGTGACGACGCGTGCGCGTCGTACCGCCTTGGGATATTTTTCGTAACGTCGTCGAAAAAAAAGAAAAAAAGGTCGATCGTTCTTCATCGTCTACGTTACACGTTGAATCGATCGCTCGACGCTTCAAAGCCGATCGTCGCGCGAGCATATGTATACCTCCTTATATATTCCAATTTTCGTTCTACTCTCATTCTCCGTATTAATTCATGCTAGCAATCGGTGGTAACGACATCTCTTTTCCTTCTCCTCCCGTTTTAGAATTATTTCCACCGTGATTAACGCGACATAACGATGACGGTGAATTCTCTATACACTTGTACTCCGTATTAACGCGACGACAGTGATCGTGACTACAATTAAAATTAACGATGATTGTTCGATGATGCGTGGTCTCTGCGTGATTCGTTTCGAATGAGGCGCTCGAATCGAGCGAACGGTGACGAGAGTCGTTCGCGGCGCGGACGAACGCGTCCGATTTCGCCGAAACGAATTTTCGATCGAAAATATCGTGTTGAATACATTAAGTTGCCATAGAGGTACAGAGAGAGATAGAGAGAGAGAGAGAGAGAGAGAGAGAGAGAGAGAGAGAGGTACGTACTTTTTGAAAATAGAGAGACAGAGAAAGAGAGAGATAGAGAGAGAGAGAGATAGAGAGAGACACTATAATTATCAATGAAGCATCGTGTTTTGTGCAGAACAACTCTCTTATCAAGTAGATCCCATTTTTTTTTCTTTTTTTTTTTCATTAAGGATATTACATGTCCACAGTAAATACAGTTAGGTTTGCACTATTCTATGTCAGTTACAAGTGGCTTCCCTTCTCCTTTACCCTCCTCCACCTCTTTCTTTTATTTTCCCACCTCTTTCAACCCTGTGGTTGGTATTTTCGCTTTATTTCACTTCAACGATATTCTCGTATCTTTCTTGGGCGACATGTCAACACCTATACTTAAGGAGACAGTTAAGCTACACGTAATTTGTGAACGTGCGTGTTCTCTCTTTTTCGTGTGCAATGTGTATGTGTGTATGTGTGTATGTGCTCGTGTGTTGCATGTGTACGCCTGAATAGTATGTCGGTTGTGTTTCAAATTCATTCGTTTCACTTCACGTAAAACATCGGACGACAGATGGCAACGATGGTGTCCTTTGCTCGTGATCTTTTCCTCTTCGATCTTTCTCTTGTTTTCCCCTTTAATCCCTTACGTTTCTACACAAATGTATAATAATTATATATTTACATCCATACCGCATTATCTCCGCACTCGTCACGGCCTCGAGGCAGTCTCGTGCCACCCTCGATCGCTCGCCCGGTCTAACGTCACGATAATGTAAATTCAACAACTATATATATTTGTATATATATATATTTTTTTGTTTTGTTTGTATATCAAAGCAAGGAATCGTATCAACGATATATCGATAGCAGAAGAAATGTCGCTGGTTCTTTCGTGTAAAACGCGGGGAGAATCCGAGTGTCCGTAGCCGTGGGTCGCACGGGAGGCCTCGTCGCGCGACGTCTCTTTTAATTATTGTTCGTGACACGGTTCTCAAGCCTACCCGCGTAGAGATTGAGAGTGACCAGATAACGGAAGGAACGTAAAATAGATACGGGGTCAAAGGAAATTCGAAGCTCGCGGAATAGATCGAAAGGGAACTTCCAAAAAGGCTCGCGGTGTAAATGCTTGTTGACCTTCGAGGAGCTTCTCTTCCGAGATACATAATATATATATATATAACATATATATATAACATTCAGGCGTTCCACACGGATGCACTTTTCGCATTAGTTCATTTTTCTCTCTTAACATCGCTACGTCCTCCTCCTCATTCCTCTTTCTATTCCTCATCATCTTTATATAAGTAAAAGGCAGGTGATCCTCGCAACATGTATTTTTTTTTTCTTTTTTTCTTTTATGTACAAAGGATGAAAACCATCTTCGCGATTCTGTGTCTCATCGTTACAATTTCTCAATCTAGATAATATCATTAAGCAGCCTAACACGTTCCACGCACACGTTTCCTCGTTCTTACCCTCTGACACGTAACACTCATGCTCTCTCCATTCAACTTTCTTTCCTACTCTGGCCAGCCATCCTTCTTTCATTTAAAACGCTACATAGAAATATCTCTCTTCGTTCTGGGTCCCGCACAACTTTGTTTGTCTTTCGCAACCATGACGATGGCTACCACGACGCGTGACCGTCATCGAAGGACGACGAGAATGCGCTGCGAGCAAGAAAGTCGACCGTCCTTCTCCGCCGAGAGAATCAAAGCGATTCCTGGACAGCGATTCTTCCCATCAGATAAATGGAATCGTTCCGCGATATTAAACGTTGACCTACTCGCCGACCGCGATTGCTTTCTTGCTGGCAGCACACGCGTTGTTACGTAAAACGACCGGTCGAGTTTTGCCGCTCCTTGTCTCGTTTCGTCTTGTTTCTCTGGTATCCGTTCTGGATCGGTTGCGTGACGCCGTTTTTCCGCCTGTCGGTCGCGCGAGGTTTTTTTCTCTTCGAGACGGAGAATCGAACCAGAGTATCGCCGCCGACTACTAGGAACGTTTATCTTTACGGTCAAACGTGAGAAGCGCGACTGAACGAGCGACCGAAACCTAGTCGACAGACTAGACGCGTTCGATTATCAGCCGGAGCAACGTGGATGGGACGCCGGTGTTCGCCACATCGTCACGTGTCTAATCGCGAGGTTATCGTAGATACGAAAATAATCAAGGATCGGACGACAGAAGTAGACCTTCTTCTTCGTTCTCTGTACATAATTCGCGGCGATCCGCTGGAAAAAGTTCGGCGCGTATGGAAATGAATGCCTAAAGCTATCGATAGAAAAACGAGAACCGAAGGGAGAACGGGCGCACGACGATACACGTAATCGGGTTAACTGTTGTCACGGGTTTCTTCTTTCTTTCTCTAAGCTATTGATTGACATTAGGCATCGCGAACACTTGAAACGACGATCGTTCAGCTAGCAAGGAGCACGATTTGGATCCGAGTTTACCATCGAATCGTCGATGTCGTGCTCTCGCGTGACTACGTAAGCGCCAACGTGCCATTCACGGCGGTTCGCACGTTGGCGCGAAACGTTCTTAAAAAACGTGTCACGATTTCCGTTGACCGACATCGAACCAGAACGTTCGAGCATCGTCAGCCTCGCTCTGCCGATTCCAACTCGATCGGTGTGTGTGTCTTTGAACGTTCGTCGCGTGTGAAAGGCTGCAGTCGACGCTGTGCACGTGCGAATAATGAGTTTGCGGATAATAATACGTGTATACGCAATATATTTATTTCCCTTTGTGATCGCGTGACACGCGCGTGCAAGAGTCAAAGCGTCGATGTTCGAGCCGTTTCGGAGAAACGGCGTCGTATCGTGGCGGTGAATGAAGCTCCCTGGACAATTTGCTGGCTATTTATATTCATCCGTTTCTCTTCTCTTGCATTCTTTTCCCCCTTTTCTTTTCTTTTTCCTTTTTTACACGGAATTTTATCATTGTTAAAATTTCCGACGCCATTGCGACATACGGGCGCATGATGGAGCTCAGCGGTTAATTAGTTTGTTCAGCGAGGCGCGTTACGACGACGACGACGACGACGACGACGATAACGATAACAACGATGACGATAACGATTCGTTACACCGTTTTCCAACAGAATGAAGTTGTTGATCGTTTTTTTTTTTTTTCTTTCTTTGTGTAGGCGTTAGCGTTATTGCACAACAACGATTGTGCGTACGATAATATATAATATTGTTTATTGCGAGTGTGTCAAAGATCGGTAACGTAGCTCTCGGTAAGTTTGTCTCGGTCTCTTCTTTCCCGTGGATTTAAAGGACGGTCGTGCTAGCATTTTATCGTATCGCCTTCACTTCAAAAACTGTGCAAACTTCTCTATAATTCGCCATAAAAAATAAACTTCCTATTACCTGTGTGTGTGTGTGTGTATGTGTAAGTGTTCGTGTATCTGTACGCGCGTTTGTATTGTCTGCGTGTGCAACATGCCACGCATACTCGTGTGTACTCGTGTGTGTTTCATTCGCTTGGGTATCTCTATGCGTGTCTCATATCCTATATAATATGTGTGTTACGTGTTTCCTTAATTCGTGTGGTCTGGTCATCCTCGCCTCGTTTTTTCTAATCTGTACACCCGAGAATACACATGTAAGTTATACATTTAAGCTCTCTATAGCTTGTTTGTCTTCTTTTTTTTTTCTTTTTTTTTCTTCATTTAATCTTCGAATGCCTCGTGGATACGCTACTTCAGTCATTCCGTCACTCACGCATCGTTCCCCTTTCACTCCTCCTCTGGACTTCCCTCAAATCCAGCGAATTTACTAAATTTAGCGCGATAAATTACCATCCCGTATGTACACAGATATTCGTTCTGTCCTGTCCCAAATTCAGACAGGACACCTGTATCTTGAACGTGTACCTTCCGCGTCACGATCAAAAGGTCCTAAAGACGGTGGACAACGCTGTTTCCGTTTCTCCGAAATTCGTCCCGCCTCCAAGTTTCGTGGCGTCGATCCACGAGCTTTTCAAGTCTTTCCCCTTCGACGATATATATATATATTTTTTTTGTTTTATCTTTTTGTCGGACACTGCGCGTAACATACATAACATCATATCGACACACGTAAGCGTAGTCCACTATAGCTGTGTTTAATTAGTATAGCACTGCAGAATTCACGATTCAGTCGTTCTTAACGTAAGAATAACGATCCTTTGTTTTTTTTTTTCCTCATTCCTTTCTTCTCTTTGCCGTTCTTCCTCGTCGAGAGTCGACGTAACCTCCGGCTACGAGCTGCCTCTTAAGGATTGCTCTCCCAACGGGCCAATTGAATACGCCTGTTGTCCAGGGAAGGCGAAAGGAGTGACCTGAGCGACGCGCTTGGCGGCGATCCGCTGAAGTATTTCAAGGTCAGGGGCGACTGCAAATGTCTGTGTCTGATCACTTCTCGCTCAGCAGGCAGGGGCCACAGTTCCTGCGAAGGAACGAGCGAAGGTATCAGCTACAACACAGTGTTCTATGATTGGCGATCGTATCGTTCATCGATCGTGAAAAAAATGCATGTTAATATTTGGTCATTTTGTTTTTTTTCTTTTTCTTTTTTTTTAGACAATATCGTGGCAATCATGGACGATTATTTACCTGCAGCGAGAGAGCCTCGTCTCAGGACTCACCCTGCTTGCTCCTACGCCCAGTCAGAGAGCCGACCAGAGATTTCAAGGTGGCGCCGAGACCCTTCCCGCTCGGAGTGTTCAAGCTGCTAGCGTTTCTAAAGCCTTGCGGATGTGCGTCTAAGCATTTCTGGTACCTCAGCTACACAGAGTCAATCAATCGAGCGAATGAATGTAGTTTGAAACAGTTTGAAACAGTTTGAAATATGTTTGCAAAACATTGATCGAGAATCATTCGAACGAGCTAGTCACCTTGCAGGCAGCTTCGATCGTTTTGCACAGAGCACCGCTGCTAGGCTCGCAGTTGAAGACGTGTGCGATGAAGAGATCCTGCGCGGTGTGCATTATGAAGGCGCACTGTTTCACGTTGCGACCGATGCCGAGGAACGACAGATAACGTACCCGGCACTCGGTGATAAGTTTCTCCTCCTGAAACACGTGCCACTATTTCCGTCTGCCTTCTCTTAAAAAACCGCTTCGTTTCGCTTGTCGATCCACTTACGTTCGGCGTAAGGATGGAGATCATGCTGGGCGCGACTGCAACGTTCACGTTTCGCCACTGATTGATCGGCGTGTTAGCTACGATGTGATCTATCGCGTCGTTGAGCACCTCCATTCCAGTTGCTTGAGAAACTTGCATGGATCCGAGATATTGTGCCCGCAGCACTTTCTTCGGCTCTTCCATCGGCGTTGGGAACGATTGCGCTGAAAACCGGTCGACTGGTAGATTCACTCGCTATTATTCGCAAAACGTTCATCCTGCAAATTTCGATAAATTTTCGTTGACGTCTACTCACTGACTAGTGCTTGCCCGTTTCTGTGAAAACGTCGATGTTCCGTCGGCAGATTGGTCGGCCTAGTGGCCAGGCTCGTTCGTCCATTGATGTCCACCGGTTTCGCGAGGTTCTGGTGTTGCGATCGCTCGATCATGATCTTCTTGCAAATGTCGCGAAGCGTATTGGCGATCGTGCGCGCCGGTATGTCGCAACGGAACACGTGGCACATGTGCTTCCGGGTCGATCTGTCTCTTGCCACGTAAGCAAAGTCCCTGGAAGGCGAACAGAGACGTCGGATCGACGGTTTAATAGACTGTGAAAGAATCGAAATGTCGTTGCTTGCACTGAGCAAGTGACAGCTTACCTTTCACTGTCAGACGATAGCATCGGTCGTTAGATGGAAGGTCAGCCGTGAAACGTGAATCACAGATGCGTTATTTAGACGGTGAAAATTCACTTGGAATATTTTTGTTAACGTTACGGCACTTACCGGCAGTGGTCTCTGCCAACACCCCACACCCTCACCGTATGAATCGGCTGTGTGTTGAGTACAGTAAGATTCTCCGGGTCTATCAATTTCAGAGCACCTTCGTCCAGATCCATAAATAGATCTTTGCCCTGGAATTAAATTGAAAATACGCTGCCGCCTCTATTTACGTACGAGGATATCTCTCGTCGAATTTAATCGATTGATACTAACGTCGCCCCACCGTCCAACCACGTCGAGAAGATCGTTTCTACCCAGAGACAAGTCCACGATACACTTATTGACAGCCTTGCTGCTTCTTTCGGGCGTCAGATCCTCTTCGGCGATTTCCGTCCATCCGAGAGAACGTACGGCGAATCTGATAGGTTTGTCCCTGCCCTCGGAGTCCGCTCGTGCCGGATAGCTCCTTCGTCTGAAAGGCGAAATACAGGATAAAGCGGCCCTCGCTACGTCGAATAAAAGCTGACAAAACAAGTATCGATGATATCTCACTTGAGAGCTAGCTCCACTTTCCTCTTGTTTTCCAACTCTTGATCCAGGGCCGAGCTCGTGTTACTGCGGGTGACGGTGTTCACCATGCCGCTCAGAGTGTGGAAGTTGTTTATCTGTAACCACGGATAACACCAAATTATAATAGAGACCAGTCTTAGATACTGATTTCTTTTCCTTTTTAAAGATATTTTCGAGACGCTTCTACTCACGCTGTCGTTGTCCTTGATCAGACTTCTGCGCGACTCCCTCTTGGAGTGCAGAGGAGCCTCTGGAGGCTCTCTCTGTATATTTCCGCTTTTAACGTGCCAATAATATGGCCCATTCTCGTCTGAAAGAAAGTTCATCGAATTTTATTGTCAGGTGGATAAGATTTGCGAATTGTGCTAGCGACTGCCCCCCGTATAACGCGATTAAAAAGTTGCTGAAAAAGACTCATTTCTGATATGAAAATATATGCGTTTTTGAATTGACTCGAAGCACTGTTTTGCATTAGCTCATGCGCGATAAGGAGGAGTAGTTTAAAGTGTGTATTGTGGAACACTTATTTCTGTGTAGAATTAGTTGTGTCGTTTCGAAAAGGAATTCGTTTCGATTTACAAAGTAGATATCGATTATAAGGTAGGACAATCTTTTTTCGCTATATTTAATTTCAGAAATAAGAAGTAATATTTTCCAGCCATGACTCCAGAAAAGAATAAATCGATTGAAATCTGGTGATAAGTTAACACCTCTTTACAAGGAATTTAACGACAATTCGCAGAGTTTGGAAAAATGACATCAAGTTTAGAAAAATCCTCTTGGTACAAAAAGTCTTTTATTAATAAAAACAAAAAATTGTTTAATTGTATGGATAGAAGATTGCAATAGGAAGAATATTCCTTTGAATACTTGTTTAATAAGACGGAAAAATAGACTATCTTTTAGTTATAATTTTTTTTATGTATGTCATAGTATATTTTATTTTATATTTTATTTATATTTATATTCATATTATATTTATATTATATTTTATATTTTATTTCATATTCGTATAACGCGTTATAGAGACTGTACGCATGTATACGCGGTTGGTTTTGCAGACACACTCACCCTCGTGTTTCTGCCATCCAGGTGGCAGATTCTCATCTTTGTCCTCGGAATCGGCGGTGTCCACCTCCGCGGGCTTCTCCTGGCTGTTATTCTGCAAAGCGGCGTTGTTCTTTTGATCCTTGGGCTGTCTCCGCTTCACAGGGACCGCGTACAGCTCGCTGTTCAGTCCACCCTCCACGTGCGGAACACCACCCATCTCTGTCGTTTCGTTATCCGCTTTCTCGCAATAACTGTAACGCCAATTCCACGTGTTATCCCACGATTGCTCGCACTGTACGAACGTCGTTCTACGTTCAGTACATTCTCTGTGCAATTCTAATCACACACACACACACACACACACTCTCTCTCTCTCTCTAATTACGGGAGTTCACTTTGACAGCTACAGACGCAAACGAAAGCGAAAAGACCGCAGGCCTCCGAAGCAACGATGCTAATTTCAACGTCTCCGCTCCGAACGTCGTCCCCTCGAACAATCCCATTTATCGCGTACGCGCGTGCACTCTGCTCGTTTGCGAAAGCAGGCACAATTCGTCGTAGCACGACTCGACCATCGAGCAAGGAAACTCGGGAAGGATCGCCCTCGTTAACGTTTACTTATCGCCAGTTCGCGTTACGATTAATTCGGATCGGCGTGATTGACCGTGAAGTGGCTCGGTTAAGGGTTTTACCGATCGCGTCGACGATCGCACGCGTCGTCGGAGACGTTATTTATTGGGAGTAGCGCGTGGTTCGTGACTAACGTAGAGCGAGAGTAACGCAGCAGCAGTTGGATCGATCTTGGTTCTTTTCGGTGATTTTCATTCACGTTTGATTCGATTCTCTCGATATTTCGACTGACGACGAGATGCATAAACCGTTCGGATGAATGCCAGATAAAACGTATGATAAAAGCGACAGTGAAACGCAGTTTCCTCCCTCGAGGAGGAGTTGATTTCAGTAGAATAAAATGTATTCTTCAGCCGTGACTGGCGCGGCCGAATGATCGACGCGTACCCGGGGAAAAGTTGGTTTTACTTTCTAATGCCGGCACGGGGAGAATATTTACTCTGTTCCCGACGAAGCTCGCGCTTCCCTTCTCTTTCCTCCGGCGGAAGAAGGGATCTCCTTCCGCGTTGATCGGACAGAATATTCTCTTTTCGCCTTTTCTTTTCTCTTCTTTCCTTTTCGTTCCGTCAGATGTCTGAAAGTCGACTTCGATCGCGAAGTCGAATCTCCCGATCAGTAATGATTTACGCTCTCGAACGCTCTTCGTGACGCTCGCTTCTCTCTCGAGTTCGAACCTGCTACTTGAAAAAAAAAAAAGAAAAAAAAATGGACGGAGCGAAATCGATCGCAGGAAGGCAGATACACGAGTCGTCTCGAATATTCGATTGATCACGCGTTACGAACCTGCGCGATGTACCTAGCATGCAACGCCGGACCACGACCGCAGCCAACAACTTTACGATACTGCGGAATATACGAGGAAGAGGGGGCAGAGAGGGTTTCGGACGGAGCAGGATGTTGATGTACAAAGATAAGCAACAACAGATTCGGGCTCGAGTTTCCTACGAGGAGTGTAGCGAGGAGCATCGTCGCCTACGAAAGCTCGCGATTACAGGCGAGAAAAATCGCGCGTCGCGATTGCTCGATCGTGTGCTGGGACGTGTTGTAACTGCTAGCGGCTACTCGTTTCAAGAATACACGCAATGTATGCAGTATGACAAGTAGTAGCAGCGGAGAAGCCAGCGATAGTATAATAACAATGACAACAATAACAACAATAATTAGTAACGTGTGTGTTTGTGTGTGTGCGCGTGTGTGTGTGTTACGTGTAAGGATAGCAAACAAAACAGAAGATTGTGAAGCAGCAACTCGGTACGATTTAAAACAAGTATACAGTGCAGCGATCTAATGAGGGTCTCTCCGGGTGTCACGACGGAGCTGTGTGATTCTCTATCGTACGTACTTTCTCGAATCGGTTAGATTCGCAGCGTCGACCGTGTCCGCGGATGCTGACTGAACGGTAGGCAGAATCGAGGAAGACGACGACGAAGATCGAGGATTTCCGTTGAGGGTGTCGTCGACCAGAGCAGACTCCGCAACACCCTCGCTGCGGTACCTGAATCAGCACGTCGTCGTGCGCATTACTTTAAGGGATCGATCGTCGATGACCACGGTGGTGGTGGTGGTGGTGGTGGTGATGGTAGTAGTGGTGGTGGTGGTGGTGATGGTGCTTTATCTCTGTCACGTTTTTCCCTATCGCGTCGATAGGATCGCTAGGTTCGAACAGGTCGAGTCACGGGTTGGTAGGTCGTCGTTGGTCGTCGTTGGTCGTCGTTGGTGTATTATTATGCAAATGCGGCTCTGTATCGCGTTTCGCGATCAACGAGGGGCGGGAGAGGGAGAGGGAGAGGGAGAGTTGTTGAGTTTCTTGCGGGATGTTTTTTCTCGGTAAGTTTCCAGGACGGAAGCCGAACGAAATCGGGCGTAGTCGGTTTTTGGTAGGTCGATGGTCGCTCGCTGTGCTCGCATTATCATATTGATACGATCATTACAAAGTCATGAATCCGGGGTAATTATGATCGGGGCGGGTAACTGTTCACCGAGAGCATTTTGCATAATTAAACTTCGATTTAGTACCATTTAACCGATAGCTGGCCGGCGTTTACGCAAGCGGACCTCTTCTCGCCGATATTTTTCGGCGGTATCGGTCGGGACGTTAATACGCGGTGCATATAGTTTCCATCCGGAATTCTACGTTTCTGTAAATCTTCGTTTCAACCCCGAAGCGTTCTCGAACCGAGTGACGTCGGTTGACCTGGCTAACTAAAAACTCAATTTTCACCGAAATTCCACCGGGGACGACGAAATTTTCGCCAGGGGAATCTCGCTTGAAAATCGACGTCGTTTTCTCGAAACTCGCACGATCTTCGCTCTGCCGGTGCTTTACTCCAAAGTCCGATCTGAATTTCTCTTCCCTTTGTCACGAAATTTCGCAAACTCAAACCTAGTCTCAAGATTTCGTAACGCAACGTCGACTTCGTAAGAGGTTGCCTTCTCCTGTTTTCGCAAAGTTGCCACTCGTAACTCGTGAGCCGCTCGTAACTAGTCGTTTAAACGATATCGAGAATCCGCCTGCGAGTGTTGTTTCGATTGAGAGGCAGAGATGGAAGTGGAACGGAAAAGAAACGAAGCGAGGCGAACCCACCCTTGGTTATCAATTTTTTCCAACGTGCCAGCTTCGAGCGGCTTAAAGGCGAGCTCGATTGACCGTCGTGCCTTGTGCGGAGCCGCGCTGGCTGAAAATTACCGCGGCTGCAAGGAAGTGCCATTTTAATTAACGATCGGGGAACGGAGCCAGGCACCGACGTGGTTAGTACAGGGTCGCTAACCATGTCGAAGTAATTAGGGGATTAGCCCGAGCGGTTTGCCGACTAACGTCGCTCGACTCTCCTGAGCATCGTTCGGCCCAGTCTTCGCCCAGTCTCCTTCAAACTCTAATCGATCAACTTTTAATCCTCGATCGCCATCACGGATTTTCACGAGCGTAACTTTGCTGCAACTTTCGCGCAACTTTCTTGGCCAACGTCTCCCGGCCAACTTTTATCCGACGCTTTATTATTTATTCCGCGATGCTTTGATAATTTAGGTCCATCGTCCCGCTCGAAATGAAACCGGCAGGCTTTAATTACTTCGACGATTCGCTAACGGTCGTCGTGGTGATTTTTGGAACGTTAATCTTTTATCTCGAGGCGAAGTGAATCTATGTACGACCTAACGATTTATTTTGTCGGAGATGATGCGTTCGATCGAAATTCGAATCATTAAGAACGGTGGATCTGCGTGGAAATAGATTTCTCTATGAGAGGGACACGTAGCCGGTGTAAGTCGAGAATAGACTTTGACGTCTGCCTGCTGAATGATTTATCACGCGCGACTGGAACTAGCTGGAGCGATTTCTTCTCGAGCGATTTCTTTCCCATCGATGCATTTTCTTCTCCCGGGGCTGTGACACCCTACGGAAGCGTCTGCAATATCTTCTTGCAACAGCGAGCGCAATCCTCAATACCCGTGTTCTTGCCTTCTGGCATGGATCACGGTTATCCATCACTATCTCAAGAAAAATGGGCTCTTCGATCTTTTGAAATACGACGTTGATGCACTTCTTCTTCGGCTAGACCGAAGGTGACCGAAATTGACGGCGGGACCGTTCTCTTCCCATTTCTCATTCATAATCCAGTTTCACTGTCCGTAACGAACCCTATCATTGATGGAAAAATATTTATGTCGATATATCGGACGATTTATCTCCGTGATTTTTCGACAGGAAGAACAGTTCTTATCAGAAGCCAATAGGTTATTAATTCTTTGAAGCGTATCAAGATGCGAGGAACGGACGGATCATTCGAGGGAATCCTTGATCCCCTTTTGACAGCCAGAAACTCGATCCTTTATCAGGCTTGGGTGACCGGGGTCACCCTGAATGACGCTTATCCTCGTGCACCCCCGAGTTCGACCATATTTTAAGACGACGCGGACTGTCAGGGTCTCCTTTCGGCTCTGATATTAAATTTCCTCCGACAATGTATTTTTTTTTTTTTTTTTTTTTTTTTTGAGATTGGCCGTCGAACTTTAATAAACGCGACCGATAGTCGACGCACTCAGTCGAATTTTATCAGCGTCGCGTGTGAAACGTCATCGCACGGTTTCGTTGGACGCGATCGGTAACCGTTAAATGCAACGAACACGATGATTTCTCGCATCTGTTGTTAATTGACCTCCTTTGACCTGCGCGAAATGTCGAAACAAAAATTACGTTTACGTGACATATTTTTAAAGAAATTGCAGACATTTGTTTTTCCCAGGGGAAAATAGGCGCGGGGAAATACGACAGTATGATTTTTATGTCACTTGGTTGAGAGAAGTTTAATGTAGTTTAATGCGATATAAATCATAGTTCGTAGACTATTAAATTGACATATTTAGACTGATTTAGAAGACAGACAGAATATTTCTGTTCATTCGCGTGAAAACCATTCGCGGAGAAATACGACAGTATGATTTTTATGTTACTTGGTGAAAGAAGGAGTATATTTTAAAATGACACGAATCGTAGTTTCAAGACTATTAAATTAACATCTTTGATATTTAGACTGATGACAGAATTTGTGTTTTCCACGTGAAAATCAACGCGGTATGGTTTTTACATCACTTGGTAAAAGAAGAAGTATTTTAATACGATCCAAATCGTAGTTTGAAGACTTAACTTAACATGTTTAATATTGTTTTAAAAGAACCACGGAGACGAATACATTTAACTCTAAAATCAAAATACGACGCTTGACCTTAAAAAACAAGATCAAGAAAAGCTCTCATCGTTGATTCTCTCCGAACTTCGTAAATTCGTCACCATTATTATTAACCTCTTGCGCTAGAATGACGTGCCACGCACGTCGAGAATTTTTGCAATATTTCCTCAGTTTTAAGTATATTTAGGTAAAACAAATAATAAATTTGTTACTTCTCAATAATTTCTAATAATCCAGTGATGTCATACCGACGAGTTCAAAAAGAAAGCGACGAATTATTGTATACGGTTCGGTCACTCGTTATGGCCCGCAATCAGTTGCCAGCGCGCAAATGATTTGGGTTAGGTTTGGGTTAATATTTCCTCAGTTTTAAATATATTTAAGTAAAACAAATAATAAATTTATCACTTCTCAATAATCCAGTGATGTCATACCGACGAGTTCAAAAAGAAAGCGACGAATTATTGTATACGGTTCGGTCATTCGTTATGGCCCGCAATCAGTTGCCAGCGCGCAAATGATTTGGGTTAGGTTTGGGTTAATATTTCCTCAGTTTTAAATATATTTAAGTAAAACAAATAATAAATTTATCACTTCTCAATAATCCAGTGATGTCATACCGACGAGTTCAAAAAGAAAGCGACGAGTTATTGTATATACGGTTCGGTCACTCGTTATGGTCCGCAATCAGTTGCCAGCGCGCAAGTGGTATTCTGCGGCAGCGTTAAAAATTAAAATCAACTCGTCACATTTATCCTCCCCCCCCCCCCCCCCCATGTAATTCTCAGTTGCAATTCCCTCCGAAGAAAAGACTGTCCCTGTTCTCGTATGAAAGCACCGTCCGTCCCCTAGCGCGTTCAGATGCAATCGCAATCGCAATCACGTGTTTCCGTTTAAGGCGAGAAAGCACTCCTTTTCCGCAGGCTACGGCTCCACAGTTTTTAAAACGGGAAAAGAGGGAAAGAAGCAGAAAAACGACGAGAGTGCGTTGTTGGGAAAACAGAGGAGGCACGGGAGGGACTAGGGAACTACAACTGCATTCGAAATGGAGAAGGAAGGTGCCGCGCGGCCCGCTGTCCGGGGGCTTAATAACACCGTTTTAAGCAAGTATGTGGGTTAGCAAAGGCACGGGCAGAAGCTTGGAAATTCGCCAGAAGTTACCGAGAGGAAGGCAATGTGCATAAATGCGGTCGGACCGCGGATGGCGATCGATTAAGCCGAATACCTTTGCGGGAATTCTCTATCGATCGGTCGCCGATGCGACAACTTTCACGAACAGCGAAACAATCGTTCGTTTGTGTACCGATCGCAAATTGACACCAGTCAAACGATCCCATCGATTCACACGCTGTTTGCGAACGAAGATAGTCATTTTCGTTTCGACTTTTAATCGGCTTCGCATTTGAACAGCAACTACACCGAGTTACGCGAAAAATATTCGAGGATAGCTCGACAGTTGACTTAAATGTAGTGAGGTTGTGTCACGTCGCTGTCTGTTGTTCCTCCGGGTCAAACTGGCGTTTAACCCTATGACGACTATGGGTAGATACATTCCTCTAAATGTATAAGGGGACTGTACAAAATTCAGTGACAGCAATTATGCAATAATGGCTGATACGCGCTCACACGAGGCCAATAGCGTGACACGATGTGACGTTATTACGTGTGTTACTAGTATGAAATTAGGAATGACATTGACAATTAGTTTTTATCGTTTCTTTCGTTCAATTAACTTACACCTTTATATTTTATCAGATATATATTTGATGATTTTTTAAAGTATGAAAGTGCACTGTAAAAAAATGTTTTA